ACCTGATTTAGATTACCAATATCCACGTGGCTTTGTTGCGTTGTGCCTAAGGGACTGCTTTCTTTTGGTCTCTGGAGGCGCCTCCGCAAGGTGCGTATAGAAGGCAACACCTTCAATCCCTTTTCCTTCAGCAAACAGCTGTGGACGAACAGTGTGAAACCCTGGGATGGTACAAACGGAAAGATTGTGCCATCAGTCTTACGAATGCATTGGGATGAATCAATTTCTACTATAAAACAAAGAGCTGCACAATATTCGCTACGCGTCTTAGAATGGGTTTTGGGGTGCATAGGTGGAATACCGATTTTCAGAACTCGATAGGCTGCATTGACTCCTGCAATTGATTCAAACAGTTGTGATATTCCGCAACCTAGGAATCCGGTAAGATTCCGAATTGAATCCTATCAGTGTAAAGATGGGTGAACATTGCGTTTTGAATATCTTAAACGAGAAATCTTAATTCATAGGTTGCCCTGCTCGCTGAGTTTCTCTCAGCTTGATGCATATTAAAGAGGTTATTTGAGTACCATGGGTCAAAAAGGTTATAATTGTAATCTAGTAGATATCCGAAGTTGTCCGAGCTTTTGGCGCAATAATCTACAGAGCATTGGTCTTACACTGTGAATTTGAGCGACGGATACAGAATGTTGGATTTCATCCACACAAACAAGCACATGTGAATGACACCAAAGTTGGATCCCACGCCCAGCCGCAACGCGGGCTGTGCAGTTACTCTTCTGAAGCCAAATTAGTGTTGTGCCGGCTCGGAACTGCTGTATTCTCTGTCCATAAGCCTTCAGCTGGATATTTCTGTTGAGAACACAACGTGGTGCAGACGAATAGTGCATCAGAGATCCCATTTCTAGAAACGGGTCCGTTTGCCCCTTACCTTCCTGGTACCTTTCTCACTCCCCGATCTGCTGTGCCATTACACGCACAACGTCTCGGTGAAGCTTGATTAGTGCTCCACGCATCCTTTGTCCTCAGCTACCTATGTTTTCTCTGATGTCCTAACGCCTGCGCATCACTACAATTGCACCACATAACTAGCGGTCTTCAGTGGGTTCAAATAGTAACATTCGGTGCTTGGAAACTATAAAATATGTCATTTGAAACGAGCCAGCCGCTGCATCATAGAACCGCGTCGCTATTCGATGTGGTACCTTCTGTTTTTGACACCATCGGTAGAACGTTCCAATGAAAAATGCATACCTTATTTTGCTTAGTGTATCACTGTCTGAAATAATTGGTGCGAAACACCAAATGTTTCGTGAAGGAATCCAAAGGCAAGTGAAACGGTAAACATTAGATTCATGTTCGTGTCCAAGAAGCGTCATAGCCTGTGGTTATTCAGGTTGCTGAGGCTCACACACGCCAGTTTCCTTAGGTGCAGGTAACTTAATCGAAATGGACGAATCAGAAACAAATGGCTTATCTGGTTTTAATAGATCGCGACGAGCCAAAGGAATCTAACAAGACGCCTCTTCTCATGAGTAGCTACACATTAATCGTTGCCATCCTAAAAACAAGGTATGAATTCACAGCTTTTAGTTAAGTAGTCCTGACACTCGACGGCTAAACACAGTCCTCCGCAAGGACAGTGACCTGCTTAGCAGTGGATGATGGGTTGCACTATCTCGCAGCAGGTTTTTTATTTATGACACTCAGCTGTGTTCTTCTATGGCTTAGTGTCACCAACTGCTGGCTAGTGGTGCAAGCCACCAGCGTTTGTAGGTTCGGTTACCTGAAGGGAATTGAGCTTATGCGCACAAGGAACGAGTCGCGAGAGGATGCAGAGGATGTCTGGGTTGGTAGGTGGCTTATCTGGCTTGCCATCAAATTTCGGTGAACTAACTAAAGCAACATTATTCGTCCAAGCAACTGTTGATTCCACTATGTATGATCAATATAGTGGGATAAGACGCCTTCGATTTTTCCATGCGACTAACATAGAAGGCATGGTGATAACGACCCACTACGTAAACACTTCTTTGGCCTTGACCTGCGTTTTCAAATACAAAGAAAGCTACCACCGTAAAATCGTATTTTACTTCACAGGCAAATGCTTGCGTATTAGCAAAGATTCTTTACACGGAAGACAAGTACGGTGAACTAGCAGCGGAGTACAAACAACTCACTTGAACGGTGTTACAAACTACCAGACTGGTCACCACTAAGCTCATTTGTTTGCCAATGTGTCCACTGTGTATGAGAATTCCGTCGAGAACTAAACTATGTAGGGTGTTCATGACAACCCCCACAACTTCCGTCCAGTACTCAGTTCCGAATACGTATAGATAAGCGGAGATAAGGATCAATGTGGCTAACCCAATCGTGACATTTGGGATTGCCCATATGTTGCGAATATTTGTGGGAACACAACTAGAATGAAAATGAAGGTGGTTCTAGGTGACTATTATCGCATCCGGTGACGTAGTAACAGAAAACGAAACACACAACTCCACTTGGATATAAAGTAGTTAACGAACCACGACTACTCAATACAACCCTGACGCCAATAACACCTATTTGGGCATACGTACACATGAATTTAACACATATAAAGTCAGCATTTTCCATTTTACTAAATAGTGGAAAGATTTATAAGGAAATTTTACCTAGTCATCCCGCCAGCTTACAACTTAAATAGATCGACCGCTGATCCGGTAAAGCACCAGACAATATGCCAATTGGACCTCGTCAGTGGCTCGCGTCATCGGGTTCCATCAGGAACAGAAATCACAACCGCTAGCAGCTTGGGCAACTTGTCAACAGCTGATTCCACTGAGCTATGGGTTTGGCGATAACCGGCCATCAAGCCTTACAATATAATCGCGCTGCAGTTGTTACACTCGCATGGGACAGTGACTGGCCTCCAAAGAACACGACATCCACTCACATTAGCTACGATGAGATTGCATTTGTAGGTTTTCAGGGACAAATTTTGCTTAATAACTGCTTAAAAGCCGCTCGAACTAATTAGCAGGATCTAAAACTTCGCTGTTTGTATTACAAACTATTGCTTCTCGATTTCGGAAATAAGGGAAATACGAGGACGCCAAATGCGTGGACAGAAGATTCCAGGTTAAAATGATGCCAACCCTAACACCCATGGACCTGATGGACTTGAAGGAAATAAACGTCTGTCATGGAGTCATATTTATTTAAAGGCAGCAAAGCATGGAATTTGATCACATTTTACTCTTTTCACTTGCAATATCGCGTTGTCAAGTTAAACTAGAATGTATGCAGATGATACTGGTCTAAAGAATCAGGCGATCAAAGGAGAACAAAAGCATATTGCGGTGATTTCAATGCGAGCTACACGAAGCGCCGGTCTTGCCTCGTTCGGGATTTCTTCATCAACACTGTTCATCTCATGCAACGAAGATGAACGCGTCTTCTCCAGGCACCCGTCGTGTATTTGGTGCAGGAAGAGCGAGTGAACCGCTCAGCACCACTATATCACGCACCAGGCTCCGATGGCTGGGCCACATTTTGCGCATGCTAGCACACCGACTCCCGCGACGTGCATTGTTTGCGCGTTGTGGGTGCGGTTGGAAGAGGAGGAGGGGAGGCCAAGTGATGACTTGGTCGAGAGAAATGAAAACACTCACTTCGAAGTTGGCGTCGGTTGGTGCATCCCGACTGCCTGGCTGGGGTCCTGAGGACGATGAACACGTTTGGTTAGACACACTTACTGATATGGCTCGGAGCCGGCACCAATGGCGTTTGTGTTGTGATTTCCTTTGTCCATCCCCCTCCTGTTTAGCATCCCCCTCCAATCACGATCTCACTTGTTAGGCATAATACGAGTCTCTTTTACGGCAGCCAGCTGTTAGCTCTCCGGAACGATGTCCATCCGTTACTGGGGACTCAGCGGGCGTGCCACTGTTTGCCACTGTTTTCCTTTTCTTGTCTTTTGTATTGCGGCACAATAGCTGAGGTGTTTTCCACCTCCAGCTTACGTGTAATGATGATGATGATGACTCCAGGCACCCCAGCATCCTTGGTGAAATGTGGCGTATGCGTGTACGAACTTGTGCGTTTGCGCAATTTGGCACTGAGTTGATTTCCTAATGGTCCAGTTTAGAGAGAAGTTGGAGTTATTCCCAGCTGCTGGTTGACAATACATTCATCAAACAATATGGGTGGGGGCAGTTGTGGAGACAGCAAGTGGAAGGATTCGTTCAAATGTGTCAGGCGGATTTATTGGCGATGGACATTTAGCTGTGACTATGGTCCAAACCGTAGAGCGCGACTCTACGCAGCAACCTGAATACACTGGATTGATTGCACCCTCTTTAACATGTGAGCCTTGGCGCCATAGCGACATCCGAAATACCGGTTCGAGGCAGCTGTTTGTCAGCAGCGGTTTCGAAACAGGTGCATTATTCGTGATAGCGCTAGCCACGGATTTGGTCATTCAAAATGCCGGGAACTAGCCCTTAGTTAGTAAACCGGATAAGTGCTTTTTTGTAGAACCCGCAGGTATCAAGTTTCGCAGTATGTTGCTTACGAACCAGCCGCATACCGTGTCTACGCCTGGCCAGTGCCAGCAGAGCGAGAGGGTCCATCAATACGTGTGCGCTCTAATGGCGAAAAGGCTAGTTGTGAAACAATCATGGTGTCTATTGCTTTACATCAAAGCACATTCCCAACTGTTCGCGCCGTACACCGGGAGGGTGTTACAAACGGTGAACTAGTAGTTATCGATGCTACGATAGCAATTGAGGAGCTGTCCAGCCACTGTCTGCCGCAATGCCACCAGCCTGTGACTGACTACAGATATGATGTTAGATAGTCAGAAGGTCTCAGCCGGTATGAGGTAAGGAATGACCTACGTTTGCCGAACCCAACAAACGTGATTCAAATATTGTCAGCAAAGATATGTTGACAAACCAATATTACATATATGGTTGTATATACTGGATTGGCTTACTTTAGGTTAAACATCTGAAAAGGTATGATGATATGAAGTAGAGTAGCCTCGGCACAGCTCAACCCTGTGAAATGAGAGATGTCCAGTGTTGAACACATAGGATGATAATGCCAGCGTGGTAACTAACATGGGATTGTGTAGCAAAACCCGTGTCCACTATCTCAGCTAGTGAACGAAGCAACAGTATTACTGGGTGCGGTCAACTTCAAAAAGGAATCTTATGGCTCTAACAGACAGATTAGATGTAGTGGTGCAATTCTGACTGCCCGAAAATGTCATGATCTCCTCAGTTTCAACGTCCATATAGACTAAACGAATGAGCGCATGGTTCAGTTGAAAGAAGCAACCAATTGCTAGGTGTTTTTCAGGGTTAACATCCAGTAGCTACAAGTAAAAACTCGCAGAGGTGCACAGCGGGGTCGCTCTGTTCACCTCTCTTTGCATATACACTTCTATCAATCTGGTCTGTTTCCTTTTTGAGTTGTTGTGAATATTGCTGCCATCTAGTTTGGACTCATCAACCCCTGAATAACACATTCAAATTCAGAGGGGACTGGAACGCTTAGAAAATCCCTTGAGTGTTCATTCTTGAGCGGATGGTTGAGCCAGGAAATGAAACGGTTCTAGGAGGTCTTGGTGGATCTAAAAAGAAGCACCCGAACCACACCCTGGTCAACTAATTACTGCCTATGTTCCCTGCACTAGCTATCCTAGCTGTGTAGGTCACGTGAAGTAGGGAAACATAGAAATTGGAAGATAAAGAGGAGGGAAAGTCATTTAACTGAAGGAGAACACAAAAGACTGAGGAGAACGAGAGAATATGGACTCGAAGTAGGAAAATGGGCATGATCAAGAGAAGGGAAAGACTTTTTTAGCAACTTAAGGTTGTTACGGTTAAGAAGCGGTAAACATTGTCGTACGGCTTGCATGAGAGCTGGTTTGACCAACTACGCTAGCAAATGCCCTATCGTGTGATAAATCAGGTCCAAAACTACTATTGAATATATGTGCGTGGGAGTGATCCTGCATTTCCTTGAGTGGTACTCAAGGCTATTTACATCATGGCTACATATCTAAGATGCCTGTGAGTTGCTACGTGACTTTACGTCTGGCAGACGTCTTGATCTGGTGTTAAGCGTTAGAAAACTGAGTTGCTATTAGACCATTGTTAGCATACTATCAATCAAGGACCAGCTTACTGAGAATCTGATATATACTGCAACATGACGCCCAATGATGGCGATTGGAATATTCGCTGGGTTGATTCTTCTGATCTGAACAGGCGTGCAGTCATGTAAACTTGAGGGTAAATTTCGGTTTTTCTTGTACTATATTGCCGGATTCTCGCACAATCTGATTGTATTTGACTACGCATCCCACCTAACGGTATATCTGATTAAGTTGTCCGGTATTCAATTCTACCCTTAGACGAACTCTATGCTGAGAACTAAAACAGCAGAATCATGCTGCAGTCCCAGTGTAGACCAATTGGATAAGCTGTAGATAGTGAACGTTGATGGGTTATATGAACGGTACTTAACCGCAGCTTCTAAGTCAGATAGTCCTTCGCAGACAAACGAAAAATCACTAGGCGGCCGTTTCGTTCCCATCGGACTCGTCACTTAAGCATGTGCCTTGTCTACGTCTTGGTACGAATCTAGGACTGCTAGTGGTTTGCGCCAATAGCCAAGATGTCCTACCAATGAGCCATGGGGAAGAGCTATGTGTCGCTGTGACTTGCAAGCTAACTAAGATGTGGCGCAACTCCTTCTCTACTGCCGCGTAAGCTACAAACGCTGCAGTGGAATGCATTGTCCTCACGAGTCGTGGTTTGCACTAACGATGGAGGTGTGGAGGATTATCTGGCTTGAAGGTCACGGCGAGGAACATTCAAGGAAGTTGTTGCACTAACCAGTTTTGTGCATCAGGATGAGTGGAGGCATCAGGTCGATTCGGTCAAGGCACACCCGCGCCCATGGGATGGTCTCAAGTACCACGTAGCCTCTCTCAAGTATTCCAAATTGAATTAATCTAAACGGTTGCTTAGAACTCACACGTTACAGGCAAAGATCCCGCCTGAGAAGTCTGGTTGCGTTAAGTGTTCACTAGGTAATGGGTTTAGACTGCATTGTACTCCCCTTTATTTATGCATTTAATGCATGTGCTGAAACAAAAGAGCAATAGCTTTGCATCTAGCAATGCAACCCAAGGATTAAAGGTGAGCAAATGTTTAAGAATCCTTTGGACAAGAGTTCGTCAGAACCGGCATCTCTACAAAGCAGAGGTTGTGTGGTGCAAGCATCAGATCGGGATGGAGGTTGATTTCTAAGCTGTTTAAACATACGGAATGATAGAAAAGGGCAAGTCGGTACGTGGAACGTAGTAGTATCCGTTGATCACAACGACAGTTACGTCAGCCGTATGCGGAACCTGAGGTTGGTGTTGAATTCAGGACGCTTCTTCACCGCAGTTGGAATAAACAAAGCTAGACTTAATCTCGGTCTATTTAATCTGGTTAAATGTCGTTCCACTTTATTTGTTTTGATCAGTTATGTTATCCTGTTGCATATTCGGTGTCATTTTTGCTTGGCTGCTTTCCATTAATTTCCCAGGTGTGTCTGCGCACGATGTGAATGTTGGCAAAGTGCCTAACTCTCTCACACCAATCCACCTCGATTACTATAGTTCCAGGAGACTGTGAATCGTTGCTGGGCGGGGGAAGGGGTGCACGGTCCTCTCCTAGGCTCAAAGAGTTGTTCCATCCAATGTGGAGCGGACTACGGTCCAGCCACGGACTTGTGTACGTCTGGCACGCATGATCCCCGTTTAGATGGACAAGAATGCTCCTGCTGTGCATGTTGAAGGAATGTGGGCCGGCTCCGTTGATGAAACATAGCTCCCATCCACATGCCTCCCAGTCTTATTCCTTCAGGTTTACACTAGATATGAGGTGTATGAATGGAGCTGTGGGTAGTGTAGCGCAAGCCGTCCATGGTCCCTCTGTAGGCGCAGGCGTCCTGTGGCCGTCCTATGGAGGCCACAATGGAGGCGAATCCGCAAACGGATGCACCAACCATGTGGAACCAACATAAGCATAATCGGCTCCAGATTGAATGTATATTGCCTTGGTATTAGAGAGTAGCTCTTTGCGGAATCCTTGCGGGAGGGCTTAAACGAATAATTAGATGCTGTTGAAGTCATTCGCAAATACTGTATTGTCATAGGCAAACAATTGTGGATTAATCAAGATGTTCGATGATCTCGTTTCACCAGTATCTGCTAACAAATTATCTGGGATAGGCGCCAGAGATTCATGCTAGGTGATCAACACGCAGAGAACTGGTCTGTTGGTTGGAAGTCTATCTTCTAATGGTCCATTAAGCGATAGCTTTTTTGTAGTAACCATTTTTCAAAAGGAATTAATGGGAAATATTGCAGCTCGGTGCAGAAAGGAGGGTGCTATTTTCTTCCTCGAGCTTTGGTACCTTAGTCGTAGACTTCTACTTGTCAAGCTATTCATACGCTGCTCTGTAAAGCATGACCTGAGAGACACATTGATGATTTTGTACATGCTAGTAACAAAACATACAGAAGCAAAGTGCCCATCTCGAAGAACCACACAGCGCTTTCTCAAACTGACCGCGAAAAACTTATTCTTTCCAGCGTCATTTATGCGTCTGGATAAGCTCTCATCTCAATGATGGCATTTAAGTAGCAGGTGATTCAGAAGCTGTTTCCTAAGTGGATTTTGTTTGTGTTGTCTTAGATGCTTCAGCGTATATTTATTCTGATGTCCATTTTCCATCAGCGTTTTGCGAATTCTCTCCACTTCATAGTCAACGGTATCCAACTTGCAAATACTCCGCTCCCTAAAAGCGAGTGATTGGAGTAAACTCCCCTTAGACTGCTATGGCACTGCGCAAGTGTACTACCCAATCCATATGTGAGGAGCACGTTTGTGCCGCAAGATCCGTCAACGGCACGAGCAACGTACACATCCAAGTAATTTAAATCGTTTACAGTGTTGACCTTCCTATGCGTTCCGCATCCTTTGCTCCATTGGACCACTTTTGGGTGGCTTATGGAAGCTGAACTGACTACCTAATTATGCTATTATTCGCATTGCAGTAAGCTTCTCGGGTGGATTCACCCACGGCACGTTATTTGTTTTATAATTTCAATTTGATTACCAATTCTCTAAAAATTGCATAAATGCAAATGTTCAACATGTGCATTCGAGACTAGAGACATGGGAGTTCCGGACGGGACTTGTTGATGATGTCAATATGTTCATGTTTGGCCTAAGGAGAGGTTCAATGGAGAAATGCTCATCACGCTTTTCCGTAAAAGGATAAGTTGGATCCAATCACGACCGGGAACTACTAAGCAGCCGTGATCCTGTGAATCAACAGATGTTCCACCTCACCTATTAAGCAGCCAGCGAGTGGTCAAGCCAGTCGCTCACAGAAATATCGTTATTAGGCGAGGTATCAGCTGGTCACTTCTTGTACTTTAGATCATGCATCGCGATAGTTTATGTACCCAGCTTTGTGGCACTGGTCAATAGATGATTCCGTAATTAACCCGTAGTTTCTCTAACGGACTTCATCGGTAAATGTGTGTGTTTAAAAGGTATTGTTTGGGTCACTTATTAGTTAACTGAATAATGCAATTTTACTCACCATACACGCAAGCAATGAGCCGAAGAAGCAGCCCCATAGGCCTGTGGCTGCTCCGCAGCACATATAACATGGCTGCGTGCAACAAGTTCATAAGTTCGAATGCTGTGAAGATGCCGAGCTGAATGAAACCAGCAAACTGCGGGATGGGATGAAATATTACTTGGCTACTGGGTGAAGAATAGAGCATAGGTACAAAAATAAAAGGGCGATTCCCCAAAACAAATACCGTAATAGCGCGAAAAGGCGAGCAGGAGGCAACATGTCTGGATTAATAGAGTGTAATTGTTACTAGGGGTGTTACAGCGTCGACAAACACCTATACCATTCGTGAGCTTATGGTAAACTTAAAGACTAGCCTTATACCAGCTGATGGTGTGGTCACAAGTGCAATGACACGGCTGATGACCATGGTGCTGCCTTCATTTATGTTCCTTATGCACAAGGACGTACTGTGCCACTAAGAAAACACATGCACATCGGCAGCTTTGACATCGAATTTCAACCACTTTCCATGCCTCCCACTCTTTTTGTAGCCTGGCTTGACCGAGTAGCATGCACTTGTGTCAGAGTAAACGCACTGCGTGCATCTAATATTCTACTTTTTCACACGGTCAGACCTATCTACCTGCACTTATATGTACAAAGCATTTAAAAATTAAGGTGCAAGAATTTATTATTCCTTTTGATTACTCTTCCTTCCCCTTTTATCTTCGGTTCCACTGATCTCAAGCTATCACCAAAACGGAACCGCAGATGCAATTTGACTAATCATTCGCATTTGTTTCTTTAGGTTACCTTTCCAACACGCATACAGATTAGCACCCTCACACCTAAGCGCGTCGCTTAATATACCAAGAGACGTGATTGCGCAAAATGCTCAGTTGTCCATCGTCCCACGATCCACGCTCCCACCCGCAGCAACTGAAACACAAATGTAATGTAAGTGCAAGAGATATGAAGATTCGAAAGTTCTATCGAAATCCTGTAGTGGATCAAAATGATTGCCTTCATCTTGCAACCTTACTTCATTGGATAATTACACCATCTTTCTCCTAATGAAGTTACAATTCGACTTGCATCATCGAAAAAGATCTAATCACGTTATGTCAATTTCTAAAACTTCCAAGTTCTCAACTGTCACGGTGTAGAAGTAAACAACGTTTGGTATATTACTGATGATTGGTGGGGATTTTGGTAAAATTAATAAATAAATCCTCATGGTCCACCCCCGTACGCAGGCTTTGGCAAGACTGGAAAAGCACCAGCACCTGCTTGTTGACAATCGACTATGTTACAGTCCAGCTAGTCCTAAACTGTCATGTCAGTTATGATCTGTGCATAGGAGAGCACTTGGCTCCACGAGTTAGGAATTCCTACATAGCGCCTAGGTACTACACAGAACTTAGAAAGCACACTGACCGATTTTATAGTACTCATAAGTAGTGGGGATTTTTGTATAACTCACAGTTTATTCATCACGGTTCACCCTCAGTCAACAGGCAGTGGCAAGTCTGGAAAAGCACCAGGCAGCGCTGGTTCGACCTTTTGGGTCTCGTTGGTGGTGTGCCTTTCATCGACTCCACTGGGATAGGCACGCATGAGCACTAGAGTTTTGTATTGCAAGTCATCATTCAATATGTAGATCAAAGTAATCACAAAAAGAAGCTATTGTTCAGAGAGAAATAACTGCCCAACATATTGCTTTGCCATCAGGCAAACGCATAGCAGGCACATCTATGTTGCTTGATATGTTCAGCAACTTACCGAACATTTATCGTCATCGTCGTGTATCGTGGTCACAATAATCATGAGGAGTTTTGACCCGGACAAGAACAGCATGTGGGTTGTTATGTGTACGTAACACCTTGCGTATTTCACTCTGAAGAACGGAGAAATGTGTGGGTCTTCGAAACATGTGGTGAGAGGATAATGCTAATAAAACAAAATGCGGCAAAGCCATTGCTGAATGGATGCAAATGATTCTGGACATCGTACTATTGACGATACAAAGTAGCTCTCACGGAATAAATTAAAAAGCAGGAAAACGGACCCTCGCAACTGTGAAGCATATATCACTGAGGCTAGCAGCCTGGTGGCCCTAATCTAATCTGTTGGACAGGAAGTTAAGGCTGTATTGTTAGTTTATAGTCGACAGATTAAATTGTTCTAATAAACAAAGCCATGATTAAGCGAAACTCCGGCAAGCTATTAACGACATTCTATATAAAATGGTTGAACTTGAGCACATTTACGAGTAGCTGCTGGCAGGTTATCTGAATTCCATCCGAACGAATTTAACCAATACCTTTATAGATTGTGCCCTATACTATGTTTCAGTTGAGAAATAATTCGGGGAAAACTTCAGAAGCAAAAGTTGACGAACCAGCTCCGTTTCAGTGATTCTTCATCAGACAGTTACAAACTCAACTAAGGTGGATGGAATGGAACGAACAGATTCACCACATCGAATCGTCTAGTCGATACGGAAAGTGGATGGACAGCAGGCAGTATCACTAGCAATGGCAATTACAAGGCCCTGACCAATCACGTCATCTAATTATTTGTGATTGGATTGGCCTGACGACGAACCACTGAAAACCGGCTTACTCGCCAACTCTTGCTTATGAGCCGACGTTCCAAGTTAAAGTGATGGGGGTACTCCAGCCCTATATTAAACAATAACATGTATAGATGTCCGGAATCGATTTCAGCCCAGTCTATACCAATCGAAATTCACAGTGAGCCGTGTTGATGAAAGGTGAGCAGTTGATAGGGGCTGAGGTAGATTGTAAAGATGGTACGCAAACATACACTACCGAGCAGCCTACACACCATTAGCATCGTTCGGAAATATTGGGTGGACATCATGTAAGGACATGGTGCTGAGTTTAGGGATTCTTCCATGGGACTCTAGTGCTCGGTCTTGTAGTCATCTTTAACCTATTGATAACTGCACTGCAAAAACATATAGGAGCAGTTAGACAACGCGATGAGAGCAAACAAATCGCATGTGATGTGGGGTCTACAAACCAGACACAGGGTTTATCGCATGCATGCCAGTCCGAACGAAATGTAGATAAAAATTCTGGTCAAGGTATAAGGGACTTCAGCTCTATTTTGTATGTCAGTGTTTTTCACTCCGAAATCTATGTCGTCATAAGCTCTGCAACCAAGGTAACTTCGTCATCCTCGGGAGGCGACGGTGAAGTGCAACTATACCACACCGAACCCAACGTGAACCACTCATCTACATTCGCAAGCTGGATGTAATTCTAAAAAAATCATGGACAACTGTTTCCCCCTTTCCGCAACTCATCACTTCACATGCAGCAAAATATCAGGATAGCAGCAATGCTGAAAAGCAAATATGGACGAACATTTGTAGGCATATGTGTCGTCCGCCCGGAACAAACGGATAGCAGGACTACAGATGGGAACATCCGTTGCAGAGAGCCGACACACTGGAACATGTTAAGGCCGTGGTAAAAGCCATTTAGTCTATCATGTCATCATAAATATTGTCGCGAATCATTACAGAACGTCATACCAGGTGTTTAAAGGTAAACACCTGTTAACAAGCAGCTTATTCTGGTGGGCAACTTTTACCATATTGGTTTAGAAAGTATGCTAGGTTACGAAACATGCGACTTGTGTTAGAGGTGTTTGATGACAAAGTTGTGGGGAAGACAGGTTTGATTAGTGATAGCGCGTGGATGTCAAAACAAACGACGAATATTGCAAACCCATCAATAACATACGAAAACTGGCAGCTTAGTTATAGAAGCTACGACCAACAGATTCCCTATTTTGGCCCCTGTTAATGCTAGCTTAAGTGGTCTTGGAGAAAATGCCCACCGGATCGCGGAGTGCAATTTAAGGGGTTTTTGACCAAAGAAATATCACAGTTATCAATGGGCTTACAATGAAGGACGTTGCTAAAGTGTGCTTTGAGTATGCAAACGTTCAAAGTGAGCTTTTGCTTCAAAATATAAATATGCACACACAACGGGCTCCCGAATACCGAAAATTGTCCTAACCATCTGTCGGTGGAACAGCAGTTTAGGGTTAATTTTACCAACACTGCTCATGAGAGGCGAGCTTGCATAATGGGAACCAGTTGTATATTTAAAAAATGTAGTAAAACTAGCAGAAACTGGCAGTCACCACAAACAAACGCACTTTGTGTTCTTTCCGACGTACAGTTGAAATATAGCTGGAAAACTAGAGGAATATTATTGGTTGAAGTTGTGACCGGACACTAAATGGAAGGAGTCCGTAAAAATACTAGGCTACGAGACTAACTAAGGAACCACCAATTCTCACTACGAGGTGACAAACGACGAATATTTTGCTTGCTGCCTGCAATAGCAGAATGGATTTTGAAATCCCTTGAATTGATAGAATCTTGAAGAGCAATAAGCAATTAGTGAGTTCCTTTCAATATACCGATCGATTTCTAAGGTCATGTGGCAAGCAAAACTACCTAATTGAGACAAACGTGGAGACATTTCTAATGCAACTCGTTTGAAGTTCATGATATTTGAAGCAAAACAGTCCGGTGTCCTCAGGTGATAAGTGAGTGAAACTTAATAGCAATTATCTATGATATCCAGCATCACACTTTATTCTAAGCTATCCACCGTCTTCATCCTCATAATTATACATGTAAGCTAATAGTGGAAAACACCTCAGCTACTGTGACGCAACAATGGCACGCCGGCTGAGCTACCATTAACGGATGGACATCGTTCCGGGTAGTTAGTACCGGTTTAAGTGCCCCAAAAATATTGCATTTTACGTCAGAAAAAGGATTGCGGCGGGAGCGGAGTATAAGCTGGAGGAGAGGGGCAGTGAAACGAAACACAAACCCAAATTCGGTCGTATTCTAGCCATAGCAAAAACTGTTTCCAGCCAGAGGCGATCATTGTACTTTAGCAACTAACCAATGGCTCGAGAAGCCTCAAGTGAGGCCAACTTCGAAATTAGGGCCTTCATTCATCATAAGTAACCTATCACTTGGCCTCCCCTCCTCTTTTTCCATTCACACTCCCGGCGCGAACACAATGCATATCGCGGGAGTCGGGGTTCTGACATGCACAACACGTTGCCCAGCCATCGGAGCCTGATTCGTGATACAACGGAACTGAGTATTTCACTCGCCTTTCCTGCATCAAATACGCTACGATGAACACGCTCATTACTCACGTGGTGTTCTCACCAGATGTGAACCAAACTGCGAAAACACTGGGGATGCAACTTAACTAATCTCTTTAAATCTACCGATCTAATGGGCCAGGTTTCAGAACCGTGCAACAGAATCGAACGTACGGCTGCAATGTGCACTCCACCCTTCAGGGAGACAACAATTTTGCGCCGTCGCCATAAGTGGCGAAGTTTGATAGAAGCGCCAAGAGCTTTTGCTGTGCCGTTCGTGAATTCGTTTTAAATTACACCAGCGCTGATACAATTGTCCAAGGAATGGAATTACTGAACGAATTCCTACTGATTGCAGAAAAGCTTTTTAGTTTGAGTGTGCAAAGCAAAGCCCGAAAGGGCTAATAGCCAACGCTAATACATCTAGTGCAGCTTGGTAATTTTGTGTGTCGTTATTTATGAAGGCTATGTCGTCTGCATAGAGTTACTTCAAGTCAAAAATTAGCTCAACTTGTAGTAGCCCCATCCTCTACTTGTCTTCACTGAACGAGATCTCCATGGCTTCGTCAATAAGGAACTTGAATAGGAAGGGTGGCAGCAAGCATTTTTTTCTTACACCGATGGAGATATTGAAGAGCTGCGATAGCTTGTAGTAAGTCTTTACTCTTTCCGAGCTACGCGCCTATAACGCTCGGATAATATTTACATGTCACATGGACACCTGTTCTTGGCAGACATTACTACAGAACACGTCGGTTCACAGCAGCGAATGAACTTTTAGTGTCAAGGAAGACAACGGTGGACCTCCAATCTATGTGACAGTGCTCCATCAATTGACGTAAGTTGATTATGTGATTAATGCATCCTGGACTTTGATGAAACTCTACTTAACCCTCAAGAATCTGGCTTGCACAACTGCCGGTCAGACTGGGAAGAATAATAGAGGCAAGCAATTGGAAGGCGATGGAGGTCAGACTAATACCACTATGGTTGCCGCATTCCGAACGTGAACCTCCATTGAATATAATGAATATACTAGAGCGGCTCCAGTCAGTTAGGATAGTTTTTGTTCTATCAGTTTTATTATTAACTCGTAAAAGCCATCCACAATATCAGATCCCGTCGAATTTGTGGAAGGCCAGGTAAAGTCTATTAAGTTCTGCGGTCTAATCCAACTTCAGCAATCCGAACTCCCGTCCGAATTATGAACGATGAGGCGGATCCGGAGGGATAGTACAAGGACAGGATAACCATTGGTCGGTGAAGAATTCTACTACTCTAACCGATTAAATTGTTTTTCATTGTGCTCAACCTAACGCGCCAAGCGTTTGGAAAAGCTGTGGATTAACATTCCGCCCATGTCAACTATGGACTCGTTAACACCAGGTCTCCTTCCGTCCGTTTCCTGGAATAAGTTCCGATGGTTATAAAAGGCAGTGCCCACTTTCATATCTAACGCAAGATAAGACCACTAGGATTCGCGGTTTCTCTTCAGGCAGGCACGAGTTTTGCTTTGAGGACATTGCGAATCTCGTCGTGTTCGCTTCCAACCGGAATGTGCCGCCAAAGCATCAACATGTTCGAACCTCTTCGTGGTGCCAGCTGGGTGGTTGGGGGAAATCCCGTTCCAGCAAATGGTTCAGCGGCAGTGTTCTAGGATGTGGTGGGATTTCGCCAGGCAAGCGTTCTCCCTATATAAAACCACAGATATCTGTTTCACAACACTGTGATGTGGCGGATGTGGCTCGCCACTAAATAAAGTCACTGCCTCTTCCCTTTTCCGGAGGATCATTCATGCACGAAGGTCATCAGATTCGAAGCGTTCCATTGATTTCCGCCTTTGATGGCGAAGCCAACGAACAAAAACACACACAGCGTCACATTTACCTAATCACACAGCATGTCTACTTCCAAATACAGACATAAACATACTTTTACATGTCAACAGACACATACATTCTTAGGCTATTTGTCAAAATATACTAATTTGTGCAATTGCAGATCATACATGCCTGTAGTACCATGATCACACCCATGATGGTATGCCTCGCAATGACAAGAATAAACTATTTATTTATTTATTTAAATTCCATTTTATAAAGTAAATTCATCACGTGAGGATTTGCTTGCAGCAACTATGGTCTGGCGAACATGTCACTAATGATCTTCAACTGTATTCAGTGAGCACTTACACAATCCAAATGCTAGCGTACTTCGATACGCATTCAGAACATCTGGTTTCGCCAATTGACTGGTGTCTCTGCGCTCACAGCATTCTCCTGGGTTTCCGTCAAAAATGCACCAGCAGATCAGCACATTCAATTTCATGGTCAGTGTCCACACATGTACTCCAAATCGAGCGACAGTTTTGGACGCAGCAGTTCTGGCGGTAACTGATAGCTAAATGATTAATGTGCGTCTATGACTGGTTCTTGGACGGTAGGCACCATGTCTCTATCCGGTGGATGTTATGATGGAAGTTAGTTCAAGCAAAACATCAGCGAGCATCTTCACACAAACGAAGTAGTCGCACACTTTTAACATTACGGGAGCATACACCATATTGACCACCCAGATACAGTTCATCAGTGTACAGTTTCATAAGTTTATAGTTCAAATCCCCTGTGAGCACTACAGTATCCGTGTCTCTTTTGTGAGAAAGGAGCTTGTTCAGTTGATAACAGAAGTCGCCTTTCAACGAGACAGCATCACAATATGTCGACGCGTATGCAGCAGTGCCAAGAAAGAACCCAATAACAGCTCGCAGCTTCGAAACTTTGAAAGAGCCAGCCAGTAGTATGGCACATATTCGGCTGCTGATGGTGATGCAATAAAGCGGTGCAGATTGCGCCCGAGAAATCCAGGCGATAAGAACACAGTATTGGACGGAACTATACAATTCCTTTGCCATGTTGTCCCCTTGGTCAACAGAATCAATCTGAACGGCAAAGGAGTTGCGCCGAAGGGCATACAAGATGAGTCTTTACTCAATTACTTTGAGCCTTGCGTGCGCCGCCCACTTGTGCATCTGTGTAGGTGTGCGTGTATAGCTCGTCGCGTTCAGCCAATAGGATCTCATGCGCACTAACTCATGGGGGTGCAGTTGGGACCCTTCAGCTCCTACCAGATAAAGTGTCGGTGGCCGATGCACCATGTGGGCCTTTGTTTCTCTGTCCAAAGAAGCGATTCCCACCAATTAGAACAAGAGTAGGAATTTGAACGACGATTGGGTTGGTATAACAAGCCACAGCCAAATAAGTTTACCGTATGATTTTGAATGTGCAATTCACCTAAACGCAATGGTTGGCTCGTATGTTCGGCACTCAAGAGTGGTAAAGAACGTCATACTGAAAGCTTACGAGGAAGGAGACGGTTGGAAGCAGGTGGCTTGCATACTGAAGGTGAACGTGAAAATTTGCCGCAACAGGATACGGACGTACGAATCGACCGAGCCGGTAAGGCAGCACGAGGAAGTGCGTCGCAGAGCGCTGGAAGAAAGCTACATCGACTCTCTGATGGATTGGGTTTCTGCGAAGCCTACCGTTACCCTTGAACTCCTTCGTTTGTGGTTGATGGCAGAGTTCGAACTTTCAGTATGTACCAGCACTGTCTCACAATACTTGGATGGTAGACTCATAACAATGAAGAAACTTCGCACCATTCCTGAGTCCATGAATACGCTGGAGAATAAAAAGCGACGCAGGTCATACGTTTTGCAGCTCACGGATTACGAGATGGAAGGAAGGCAACCGGTGCCGATTGATGGGACCAACTCAAATTTATTTTTCTCCCGCAATCGTGACTGCTCACGACGTAATAGTCGACCGCAATTTACAGTGGCGAACAGCCGAGGACCGAAGGTTTATCTTGTCGGCGCCATGACAAACAGCGGCTTGGTAGCATGTTCGGTTCTTAGAGGTAGTTACAACACGCAAACTTGCGCTCAGTGCCTGCGACAATTGCTTGATACTAACGGAGCAGGATTTGTGGGAATATGTCTTTGCTTCGTGACAACCCGACCTGTCACACGCACGTTGAACACCTTTACCTGAAGGAACCGTGTCGCTCTGGGAGAATTCAACGCCTTACGCCATACTCCTCAGCTCTCATCTTATTGAGGACATCCGGAGTATAATAAAGGCACTTGTAAAACAGGCATTAATGGGACGGTACTCCGAGATGTTTCTGGGGGGTCCTGAGGCGTCATGAATAAAAGCGAGTGGCGGATTCGCTTTTGAAGCACGTTGTGTCTGAAGCCCGGGCCTTAGTGACGCAGCAGCACTGCCAACAAATGGTTCAGCATGTCAGTAAGAAGTATGGACGTGTTGTTCGTTTGGCCGATCTGTAAAACATTCTACTAGCAGTAAACTACCTGTTCTAAACGAGTGTTGTTCTCACTTTATTATGATGATGAGTCAGAGTGCACTTTATACCCTGCTAGAAATAGCCAGTTCTCTATTCGGAGGAACATCGTGGATTTTCGGTAAGTTTGTGCGTGTGGTCGAGTCGCATACCCGTTTTAGTTGCCGCGTTGTAGAACAATCATGTGAGAGGTTGACTAATAGGTGTCACTTTAACACGGTTGGTTGGCAAGCAATTATGTTCTACCGCCTGTCGTTGTGTTTGGAAAACCAGTGGATAAGGACCGTGATAAGGGCATAATAAATAAGAGAATTGAACTATGCAGACTTGACGGACATGGATAGTGTGTGTCCGTTTGTCGGATTGCTTAGCCCGTTCCAACAACGCAGGCGGCTGGACGCTGCATGCGCAAAGCAGAGCATGTAGGGCAAACGCAACTAACGTTTATCACTCTCTCTAGGGAAATATTTCCGGATGGGTATTTGTCAGTTGTTGACTGTATTCGAACACACCACAGGAATGCGTTGAGGTGCTCTGAAGCCGCAAATAAAATGTACTCGCTTCGGCGAATTACATTTACTCGTCAGGTTGTAGCGTCTGCAAAGGGAGCAGTTGCTCTGCATGACGCAAACCAGTCCGTGTGTTCATATAACATTTACCATTTGCAAGTAGAAGTTGCTATTTCGCTTCATTCCAATTCTACGTGGGTAAATGAGACGGTTATAGCCGGACATCTGTTGCAATCATATCTCGTACGTGTTATCGTCATTCATCCACACACCTCAGGCTCCGTCCTCCATCGCCAGCTGTGACTACACCATGCAGCTAACCACGAGATATAAATCAGGCGCACTCTCTATCTACCTCAGACTCCTGGTATATGGTTAATATGAAACTAGCCAGCCGCCTACCGAGTATCTGTTTTGCCTTTTAACCCCCTGGGTGTTTGACGACCCATTGTACGCCCGGATACGGAATCCCTGGGTACTCTCGACATAACCCATATTACATTAGGCGAGCGATCTGTCGAAACTTTATTCCAGCGTTGTTCGCAGGAAAATGAGCGGTTACATTAGGTCCTTAATTGCTATCGACTAACATTTCGCATGGTTTACTGCCACAAATTCAACCAGGCTCTTTTCATTAGGAACGTCATCTACATCATTGTTGCACCTCCGGGGTAAGCGGTTTGGTTTTCAGTGCACTCGGTTTGAGTTTGGGTGAGCAACTATCGATGCTTGAGCTATGGTGTCGATCCTGGACTCACAACACGTGATCATGTTTAATGACGAGGATTTGCGTTAAGTAGATGAAGAGATAACTCATCCGCTTTGAATACATATAGTTGTCTCCTTTGCAGAGGCGCACTAGGTTGGTAAGTGCGTACGTTGAAGCATAGCAATTTGTGGACGGATCAAGGATTACAAATATAAGTCAATAAAATATACTTGACCGCCTGCTTAGACATGGGCTTTTCGACATGGCACCAGTGACGCTCCGCGCTTACGTGTGGATTGAAACTATCAAAGTAATGTAAGGGAGGTCCAAGGATTCAGAGGTAAAAAACGGGGGACAAAAGTGAAGTTGGAACGTGATGATAAGGGTGAAAAGCCAATGAAGGGCTATGAGAGGGTGGGAAGGCTTGAGCAGTAACATACTTATTTCTAGCCAAGTTGCTCGATGCACAGATAGGGCCTAAGGATTATCCTCTGCGACGGCTAGAGCCTCGAGAAAATGTGTAGAGAAATATTCACTCAGCAGCTTGATTTATTTGTTCTATTAAAGCGATCCTATAACCGCCAAAATATGGCTAATCCATACCGCTGTTGGGAAAAAGGAGTCAAAAAGACGGCCGTCAACCTGAATTAATCACCGACATATAATCAAAGAAGACAAGCTGACATCGTGTATCACTATCGAGACGGTTCCACTTTGCTAAGCAGTTTACCCGTTTCAAATTAAACAGTAGTAAAGGAAGATAGTTGAACTTAGATCCAAAAATGTGTCTAGCTGGAAAGTAGTACAAGCGAGAATGACGTCGGTGTCAGGATTGTTGTTCAAAGTTCATGTCGGAGGTCACCTGTTGATGTTGCTACTGAAAGATGGCACATAGACGTGACGGATTCAAATGCTACACAAGTGTAGTGGATAACGTGTTTAATTTTTATAATTCCACAAGGAAAACTGAATGGTACGGCTAACATCCGTAGGGTTCACATTTATCCAAACAAAGCGGTCTTATACCAAATGTTGCTCATAGGCTTAACTAAGATGGTATTGTGTGAACAACGCAGCAAATTGGAGTAACACGGGATCATGAGCAACTTTGCAAAAGTTGTTCCTATCATAATGCATCAGTCAATTAAGCTACTAGACTAAGGCCTCTCTCAGCGCTGTAATAAACAGCTGATGCTTATCAGCAGAATGAGAGATGCAGGAGACCCCAGCTGAAACGCAGGAGATCGGCCACTGCTTACAAAATGTAAGCAGATAGAAGTGCATGGAGGTTTTCTCCATTGTTGTTCCCCATCGCTGCACTCCACGACGAGTTTCGTCCTTGTTGGTGTAATCAGCTAGAGATCAGCTAAATTTGGATTGGAACTCGGACAAATTGGTTCTTGGCTATCGCTATGTTAAATAGGTAATTTAACTCCACCAGTAGCGCATGACATAGCAGTTAGAATAATGTTCTGTCTTGGAACACTTACCATGCGTCATGTCCAATGCCCTCTCAGATTATTTCTGTTGCCCAAGAGGACAACTTGGCCGGGGAATGGTGCAGACATCAGGTGAATCCGGAGACTGCGTTCAAGGTGTTATTACGCAACAACAATCAGATAATTTTGGCGATTAGTAAGCCTTTGCTAATTAGGGCTCATCAACCTGTGTTGTGGGCACAGAAACTATTGAGTCAATCAATTAGATTACCGTGGTCTTGATTTAGACATTTTGGATCGCGTGCCGATTTTTCCTCCTGTATATAACTGTCTCTGAATTCCGCTTGTGTTGTGTTTGCGTCTGATGAGAACAATCAAAAGGTTGACATATCGCAACTTATGTCTTCTCACTGCTCTGAGGAAATGGCTGAAAGGGACCCACCGTTTTACCAATCGAAGTGCGACAGATGGATCACAACATGACTGTGTGCAAGAATCTTCTTGTACCCAGACATCAAACAACTTTAAGTAACATATAGTCCACTGGCACAATCGATCTAGAATTCACAAAAAGACACAGTCAAAATACAAATATCCCTCCGAAAAAGAACCACGTCGTCATCTTTCCAGTGTCTACATTTAACAATGTGGGTAATTGCATAGTATGTGATAAAAATCGTCAACTGCTTTCCCGGGTAGCAGAAATTATATGTTTAGCTATTTCGGAATATGGACCCTTCCGATTTCGTGCAGTTTCCGAAACGAGGACTGGGTCAACTTGAGCTGTTCCGTTTGATTTAACAAGAAGATTGCCCAGTTCACAGGTAGAATCTACGCAAAATAGTTCGCAGCAGTCAATTCATCTCCATTAATATTGCTTGGAAGTTTCGCTGCGTTCTGCCTGTCAGCGCACGGACTCCTACTACGTGTGTTCTTTGCACGACGGGGGTGTGGATGGAAGAATAGGAGGAGAGGCCAAGCAGTGACGTAGTCAATAGGTATAAAGTCACCCATTTCGTACTTGACGTCGGCTGCTGTCTCCCGGCTGCAACGATGGGGATCGAAGGAGGATGAACACGTCTGGTTGCATACACTTGGTGGCATGGCAAGGAGTCGAACTCAATGGGGTTTGTGTTGTGAGTTTCTTTGTCCTTCCTTCTCTAGCTTATCTTCCGCCTCCATCCACGACCTATGTCTTGAAGCAGTACGTTACCTGTATTCTTTGTATTTTCATACTTTTTGGAAATGGCTAGCATCCGCTTTTTTCAAATGTCTAACCTTTTTGAAGTGTGTTTCTCACTTATAGCTAATGTGTAGTGAAGGTGATGATTTCGACTCAATAGATTGGCAACCGCGGGTACGGCTTGACAGCTGATGGGTGCAACCGGAGGACACATGAGACCTTTGGCTTGCGAATAACTAGAGCTCTGTTGAAAGAAATTATTGCTGGCAGTAACCACATCGAATAAGTGCGACTCACCTCTGAATTAACACCAGATATAGCGTGCCAACGAAGCAAAGGATAGCCACTATAAACGCGAATCGGAATGACAGATGGCCTCTGATAGGATTGTGGATTATGTGACGTATATCATCTGCACCCGTTCCAATCTGGATGGGCAAGAAAAACGTGCGCAATAGGATGCAAAACGCACCATTAAGGGGCAAAGAACCATGAGCGATTAATTTAACTTGCGACGCAAAGCACATTCCATTACTGTAACTATCATCGGCAAATTATGGGTCTATTGACGCAGTTGCCAATCTATGCAGTTCAGCCAAGCGATCTCCAGGACGCCTTGAGAACGTGATTGCAAGCTGGACGAACTTCCGTCACTTGTGTATCGGATTCGCTCTGTAGCTGATTGCCCATGGGTCAAACACATCCGCGATCTACGAACAGTTACCAATCACTGGGACACTTAGTCATGACAACGCCCTTAACAACTTCAAGTAAAAAAGGAATTCAGTAACAGTGAGGATCTTGCAAGAACAGTAGCTTTTTCTGAAAATCCGTTTAAGGCAATTAACTGAACATCCGTCATCTATCTCAGCTTTTCCAAAGTCGTAAAATGTGTAAAATATCGCACCCTGCTTCACAGTTGCAAAAATAAGGGATTGCGAATTCCGTCACAGGGTGGATCGGCAGCCTCCGTTAACATTCAAATAAATAAATACGCGTTGGGATCATATTCTATCCCAGTTAAAAGCAAGTCCTGTCCTGTACGGAGATCAATGCTTGGGAGGTGCTTACGATTGGTCTTCATCAATGCCCTCTCACATGTTATCGCTTCGAACTCCTTACTGTTCACCGAGGATAACAACACATGAGAGCCATTCGTAGCCAAGTAAACCATGCTTTTCTCCAGCTTGACTTGTACTGTGTCTTATAATTTGCGGACCAGAAATGTTCCGTAGTTTAAGGTGTATAAATATAAAGTGGCTCAAACGAGCCACAAGCTGGCAGGCACAGCTAAACTTGATAACTACGTCTTGCACAAAGCCATCCAGGAGGGTAATCAAATGATACTAGTTCAAGTGGGTCTTGGTTACCCAAACGAACTAAAGATGGAATCCGGGTTCAGTAATGAACATGTCGTAGTGACCATTACGAATTTCCACAAACGCTTAACGCGAACTTCAAACCCAACTTGGAACGCGCCATTGAGGCACGGTGTTTATGTCGGAAGCATGATTATATTGCGCTCGAGATTGCATAGCAAAAAATAAGTAGGAATTCCAACGGAACCTTCTATCTGCCCTATTAGATTAGATGTATGGCTCTCCAAGAGATAGCGAGCGGTATTGCTATATGCGGGGACCTGATGATGATTTGCCAAATCGATTTAATCCAATAACAGTAGTCACCTCCTTATGGAACTTCGTCGTAACAATCTGAGAGACAAGCACCTAAAACTGATAACTCAGTATGCTCAGCTTCAGTGCTGTCAAAACCTCTGCTTCCAAATGTGCCACTCATGAAACACCTTCCACTTTCACGTTGTCTCAGTCTCCGCGCTGCTGATGTATACCAAGGGATTTGACGACGCGTTACGTCAGCCACACTTCTCTATATGGCTAATGTCGGCTACTACTTGGTAGCTTAATGCGCACAGGAGTTGCAGTTGCAAATCCGAACCGGTATATTTATTTCTACAATTATGCGAGTCTCCCAGTGAGTCCACATATGAAGGCATAAACACTGGGAAATGATACGCGTAGATGCAGCCTATCAATAACAGCCCTGTGACAGGGACTCCACATGGATTTCAGATGCTAAAGCAGTCGCAAATCTTGAGAAATAAACCATTATAAACTGACATTCATCTGGAGAACGCAACACAATTGTCTGTCTACACAAGCGATAATTGAGTAGACCTGAATGCTAAGAAACCATAATAGGCCTGGAAAGAAAGAAACGAAACTGGTTGAGTTCTCAGTACAAAATTAGAAGCGAAAGTAGTTCAGATGGTTTTTACTACCCTCGTTTCACAAGTTCGGACTTGAAGAGTCTCGATGGCACAAGAATCAATATGTCTCTTGGTTGTCTGACAAAAGCACAGTCTGAGAATTTTACAGTTTTATAGGAAGTAACTCAGTCCGATAAGCACTAGCTAAGACAAAACTAGTTTGACAACCACGAACGCTATTGCATTCCAATTTCAACACAATCGCTAACAAGGTAAACGTTGAAAAAATGCCCGAAAATACACTCAAACTCGTAGTGACTGCCAGCGCATCAGAATGACTGATCATGAGTTTGATATGCAGTCAGAAACATAAATACATACAACATCTTGACAGACATATTGTTAGACCATGGTAACACGAAGATGCGCGATACACGCCCACCTGCCTAAGAGTCATATAACCGGGTTGGTTGCAAACGCAACTGATGTCGCCGGATGGATCAGCACGAATCCAGCAATAGCTTTGAAACAGACTTTCCTGAAAGTCGATCATCCGCCTTGCCGACCAAACACACTGGTAGTGCTCAAGACCAGCCCACTGCGCACGCAGAAACTGGACACCGTAGGTGGCGTCCTATGGGTGAGAGGGCAAAAAGCGGCCCGTTAGGAAACAGTACTGCATGGAGCAGAGCAGCAAATGATGCTAGGTCAAGTAGGCACGAGCTACCAACCGAACATTCAAAGCGGTGCCTCATTATCCGAGAATGTCTAGATTTGACAATTCCCGTGTGTGTGTACGATGAGGAAAAGCCAACTGCATACTACGGCTAAGACGTTCACTTTCTGGATGGAGGATACATACCAACGGACACCTTAGGCGAAACATTTAACACCAACTCCAAGTTTTGCGATCCCTGTAGCAAATCGCTTTTCTGAATGGACACCTAATACTAACCAAGCAAAGTGCATTTGTACTTGTGTCATCTCACATTAACATCAATTCAGCGTTTGCTGAGCTCTCGCAGCCCTGTATACAAAGATTAACAAATTCCGTCTATTGTCTCCTTATAGTTATGTCTGACCAAACGTAAAATCGCAAGTATGTAGACTCGTATACTGCCGTGCGCTTTTCTACGAGACCAAGTAAACTGAGTGCATAAGTCTAATTGCATTTTAATAGTTGGATTCGCGAAAATTATGAAATTGGCTGAATATTTTGGGTTGTATCAATGCAAAAATTCGGATTGACTGAGCATGTTAACGTTGTAAAATCTAGGACACTACTTCAGTATCATATATTACAAGTTTTAGCAATTAAACATCGTTTACTATTCCCAATCTCAAATAATGCTAACATATTTTTGTTCCACCCTATAGATCTACCATTTGAATGACGGGCGATGCACGGCACAGGAACGAATTAATGTACAGTGGTTACGCGTATTTTGTGGTTCGTCCGAATGAGAATACAACCTTAAATTGACTCTTACTTTAACAACCCGCCAAACTACTCTGATTAAACTGCTTCTAATCCGGCTTGTGAATTGTGTTCCACATTGACCAATGGCCCAACAGTGAAATGATCCCGTTTGACGAGCTCCTCCCCTCCACTCGATTGACTGACATAATTCTTTTCACTAAGTTTGTACTTGATAGTACGGCTTGGGTTGAGACCTCAAGGATTCTAGTTGCTCAAACGCTAAACTCTCTTGGAACTTCATCACAAGTCTGCTACTCGGTAACACTCTAGAACAGTTAGTAATTTGTAGGTTGACGACCTGCATTGCAGTGAACGGAGAGTAAATGTCCATAGCAGGATTAGTTGTGATTTTGAAGCTAACCAATTTTTCAAGCATTATTATCCTGCAAGGCTGTGCATTATGAACAATAAACAATGATTTATGCTAGATAAAAAGCAGTTGCTTGACAAGTCCCGCAGGATGGATGGAGAGGGTAATACTACAATTAATAAACGATAGGTAACTAGTCTGTTTGAGAGTTATGCTAGCAGATACGCAGCTGAATAATAGTAGTGTCAGTGGAAATTGAATCCGAATGATGCGGCAACATGGGGACAGTTATAGTTGATGTACTCCGTGAGAAAAATAACTATGAGAGTACTTACTCCTTTACTGCTTCCCCCGGTTTATGTGACATATTAATCCGGTTTGAAGGGATAATTAATATATTCCAAAGTAGCACAGTTTATGCAACGAAGTGATTGTGGTCAAGGGTAAGATCCAATGGTGTTTTGAAAATTTCAAAGGTGGGGAGGAAACAACTAATTTACGGACAGAGTTCCAGATTTTGTAAACCCGAAGAGAAAAATAATTCCTTCGGGATTCCAGGCGGCTCTAATGAGCACAAAATTTCAGAGGGTAACCCCTGAGATTGGTATTATGTCTGGGTTTCAGTAAGTGACTGCAAGCGTAATTAGGGTCACTCAATATTGGGTAGACTAATACGAGATCGCCGTGCAGCCTACGGTAGCGGCCACGGAAATCGCCTAATGACTTCAACCGTTGATGTTAGGACAGATTTCGTAGGCCTTTACGTTCTTTGTGGCCCTGCGTTGTGATTTTGCTAGAACCTCTAGGTCGCGCTTCAAACAAGTTTGCCAAGCTTGGATGGCGTATTCAAGGTGGGATCGCGCCTTATAATTGTGCATCATAGGAAAGATGGATGGGTCGAAAATTCCGAATGCTGTCCGCAAGAAGCCCATGTGGGGGTAAGTTCTGTTCACCGCTGCCTCTGAGGGCTTTGAACAGTTAAGTTCATTTTGAATGACCATACCGAGATCCATTTTTCGAGAAGTTGCTTGCCATACATGTGACCCAAGCTTATACAAGTGATCATGTCTAATGGCGCAATTGAACAGCGTGAAGTTTATCCACATTACAAGGTAGTGGATCCAGAACTGATCAGTTTGTATTCTTGTTGAGGTCTCGCTAGAGCTTTCGTGGTTGTTCGGTTCCCTGATCACTTACCATAACCTCCTACCATCCGAAATAATAAGAAATCGGAAGTAATTTCCCTCGCCAAATCGTTGACGAAAATAAAAAGATAGCCGCGGTCCATGCGTTGTGGTACGCCGCGCTCCACCTCAAATGAGTCGGACAGGGATTCTCGTACTATCACCGCCAACCGACGTTCGTGCAGCTAATTGCCTATCCAGCACAACAGTAAGTTACCAATGCTATGGAGTTAAAGTTCATAGAGGAGAATTCGGTGGTCTAAGCGATCACGCGCTTTTGAGCAATCCAGGTAATTTACATCGACTCCTGCTCCATCAGCAACTACTTCAGTCCAAATATTGCGCGTAATTCGCAGGTTTGTAGTGCATAAGCGTTTTTGTCAGAAGCCTTGTTGCTCTGGTGGCAACATGTTGTGATGTTCCAGGTACTGTATTAGTGCATCAGCTACAATGGACTTCATAACCTTTGAAAGCACAGGGAGTAGCGCTCTCAATCGGTACTTGTTTGGGTCAGTGCGACTACCTCACTTACGAATAGGAGTGGTGAGCTTTCGCTTCCATATTGTTGGAATATGGTTCTCCTCTATACAGCGCTTTTAGAATATAGCTAGATATTCCGCCAGATTACTGGCTGCTGCCTTTAAAGCCTTCGGTCGAATGTTATCGACACCAGGAGAGCTGTGGATACGTATGGACAACAGTTTCTTTGACACACTTTCTGCAGTAAAAGTAATATTGGATTGATAGTGGGGCACTAGAAACCGGGATAACCGTTGGGCCCGTTGCTCTCTTGAAATTTTGTGAGTAATTGAACCGGAATAGATCGGCTGAAACCGTTACTCATTGCGTGCACCCGTCAGTCGTGACTAGTGCATTACATCCGCGTTATATCTCACCAAGGCCATTAACATACCTGTATAAGCGTTTGCGGTTCGTGCACTATCACTTGATTATTTACAGCTGATGTAACAACTTGTCCTCGCGGATCAAGCTCACATAGAAGTTACACTGTACCACGTATGCAGTCCAGGTTTTGGAATTCGAGGATTGCTGGTGAGCTCTTCATGCTAAGTCCCTCAAGGACATACCTTTACGTGTTCTGATCCTCAGAAATGACTTCCTTCTCCTTTGACGATAGAATTCTACTCAGAGGCGCGCGGTGTCAGTGTGCTGAATCTCCTTGTGATTGTCACAGGCGATTTCCAGGGTGCAGTCAGTTAAGAGGGTCCAAGCTACCTCTATAGCAAGCGGGGAATACTAGTTGTAGTGCGTGACCGTATACACTTTATCATCCTCCTAAGATATTCCACATAACAAAAATAGATAGGCAGTAGTGTCACATGGTCACTGCGGCCCAAGGATGTATATATAATTATTCCGTCAACCATGAGTTCTTCCTTGGCGAGCACAAGATCGAGTATCGACGGTTTGTTCACAGTTCGAAATCTGGTGGGAGTGGTTACTTGGTTGTACAATGGTCTGCTCAAATTTACATCCTGTAAACAGGCTTTAAAGTAGGTGCTATCTGTTGCTGCTATTTCCAGGCCGTACACATTAAACTCGCCTGCGATGAAAATGTAGCTGTATGTCTTACTGTAAGCAAACTGAAGAACGTGGTTTAGTTTGGAGTCTATTTCAGACATAGAGTTCGGTGGAAGGTAAATTACTGCTATATGTGCCTTCTTTCTGCAACCATAGCTGGCACCAGCGCAATTCTGTGGCACTGATCTCTGGATAGTCAACAAGTTCACATCGGTGGTTATCATATAATATGGAACTACGTCACCAAATCTTCCAGCACTGCAATTCCGAAGCAGCGACATGACAGGTAAATTGACCTCGGAATCTGCTATCTCAAGACATGAACAAGTCTCTGTAAACGTAAACAGATCCCGCGGTTGTGACACCTGGCGTTCTCTAGGTTCAGTCAACTGACTAAAAAGGCCTTGAGCGTGGGTACACAAACGTGATAGCGTGTTTGATGTTAGTAGCATGAGGATCGACAACAAATTCGTATTTATTTTTAACACAGCCGTCCGTGGGTTACCGAAACTGCCATTGTATCTACCACTCTGCAGGTTTTTGGAGACAAATATTTTGCTGACGTTGCATGTGCAGATGAAGTGCTGATAAATAGTGACCGTGCGCTTGCTATCTTCAGCCTGACTTCGTTACATCACCTGCAGCTATTCTTCAACCAGCTATCCAATATGAGTTCTGTCATTCCTTCGACGTGTAACACGGCTTTCCGTACTTTTGGACCGCAGCCTTTGTAGTTTGGGGTAAGAAATTGTCGTTAATTATTTAACGTTAACCTCGTCCAGAGTGAGTGGTTCGCGGTTCTAGCAACTTTACTCTCGGTCGCGCTTTGCGCTTCTTGATTTGGAGATCCTAGCAGTTCAGAAACACCATGAACAAATACAGTTTTTCGGCTTTCCTTCGTAGAAGCGTCGCCATGCCAACTTTTCCCTTTGGCTGTTCTTTAATATGATGTAACAGGAGGTAGTATTTAGAAGGCAGTATGTGTACTCCGTTCGATGAGTTGCGAAGATAAACTGCTGAGAGTAGGACGACCTCTGTATCCTCAGTGGAGTTCAAGGTTACTCGAAGAAATCGGGGTTCGCCCTGGTGCACTGAATTCGGGTGACGCGTTACGAATC